AGAAATTTATACTCATGGGTTGAAATATGAACTCAACACTACTTTGTGGCGGAAACGTATGTATTCTGGAGTCGTCATATTATACAAGGTGTTCGGCCAACCCTGGGAAAAATTTTAATAGGAGATTCTAGAGGCCAAAATAAGACGGAAATGAAGAATATCAGTTTCTCGACTGAGGCCTCGTTAAAAAATTATTAACAATTAAATTAAAAAATTTCAAACCGTTTTGGAAAAATTATCTTCGATTGCAGGGGTCAATTACAGTCATTTTTGGTAAATACACATACCTCCGAAATCCTACCCACTTTCGAGAAAAAAATTCGAGTAGGTACAGAACTTTTTAGATGAAATTAAAATATTTAAAATCACACTAAAAAAATTATATTTAGTTACAGGGGTCAATTACAATCATTTTTTATCATTACACATACCCCCGAAATCTGACGCATTTTCGAAAAAAAAATTTCTTACCGAAAATCTAATTACAGTCCCTGGCCATCGAATTAGGACCACGTACGAAAATTTCACTTTTATGCCTATAACAGTGTGTCATATATGGAAAATTGTCTTAGGTCATTTAAATTATTACTAAATACGTTAATAATGATGTTTACATAACAATTGATTTGTTACTATTGTCGTGTACGAATTTTCCACCGACGTTGTCATTCGACCCCTAGATTAATTCTTCTAAAATGAAATAAAAATCTCCATCATGGCTACAGGATCTTGTCTAATAGAATTGAACTATAACAAACTGATTTTGCAATTCCAATCGCTGTCGTGTTTGCCGTTGGAATCCGGCTCGAAGGACCAAAACAAATGTCGTGTACGAATTTTCCACCGACGTTGTTCGGAAAGTTAAACCCGTACGTCGCACGCCGACTTAACTTTGTGCGAATATTTTATGTTTGAAAGTGGACTGTATTTAAACTTATGATGGATATGCAATGCGGTGACTCGAAAAAATGAATACTTGTCGGTTTGTTGATGCTCCGCAAAATTCTTGTTGAATTCTTATTTCTGAGCGAGCGTCGCTCTTTATACAGTTCTTAATTGGGCGGTTACTAATATGCGAAAAACACTGATTGGTTACAAGATTTTGTAAGGCGTGAACGGCCAGCCCCTGCAAGAAGGGGTGGTGTGGGTGTCACCAAAATTGTCTGTTTTTGGCTGTGTCGGTGGTCGCGCGAAAGTGCTATTGTATTTTTGAAGGTTGACCGTGGCGTGCAATAAAACTAGACTCCTAATTGCTGGAAAAAACGTTTGTAACGAGCTTGACGCACAACTGCTAAACATCTGGTGCGCAGGTATGGAAAGAACAAATTTTGTTATATGACGGTATTTACAAGGCTCTTTCTGAGTTGGGCTCGTTTGTTGTTTGACGGTCATACGGAGGGCTCGCGACGCGACAACTATCGTGGTAATAATCAAATTTTGTGGGTGACGAGCGATTAAGGGCCGCTCCAGCGTTTACGTAAGACTCAAGTGTCGATAACGCGTGAAGTCTGATTTGGAGAATTCAGATTTGTTTGTATATACATGATGAGAATGTGTTGCACTTATGGATGAGAGATCTTTAAAAGTTCAAATGACGAAGAAGAGAATCAGTTGTGACTGAATCGGTGAAGCGTTCATAACAAGTCAGCGTTAAGAGTTTTAGTAAGTGCATTTTATGAAATATGGGAAAACGACAGGACATTACTAGTGAGAAAAGGGCCTATATATGTGGTCTTCTGAAAAGTGGCAACCTTTCGCAGCGATAAATTGCGAAAAATGCTAATATTTCGCATCAAACAGTGATGAGAATCGGCAAATGCATGAAGGAGAATGGGCCGCAGTTTTCAAAGAAACGGTCATCCTGACGTGGTAAACGAAAAACCACACCGAGAACAGACCGAAAAATTATAAAAACTGCACTAGAAAACCGTCACGCGACTACAAGAGTACTGGTGCAATGTCTTAAGAACGATGGAGTGGATATATCTGAGAGAACATTCAGAAGACGTTTATACGAAGCCAATATCAGATGCAGATGACCAGTAAAAAGACCGAAATTAACGCCCAAAATGAGAAAATCTCGATTGGAATAGGCAAAGGCTCATTCCAATCTTAGCATAGCAGATTGGGAAAAGGTAATTTAAGAAAATCATTTTACGACTCTAACTATATTTTCAAACTTTTACAATTTCTTCATGTTTATTAGGTCATCTTCAGTGATGAAACACGGTTAGAAACGCTTACGGAAACAACTCAATTTGTCCGAAGAAGGTCACATGAGCAATTCCATCAAGATTGTGTGGTGCAATCGGCAAAACATCCACAAGCAGTGATGATATGATGGTCCTGTATAACAATTGAAGGACCAGGCCCACTTTATTTTGTTAATGGAACTATGAATGGCAAACAGTACGAAGATGTCATAGAGGCCCGATTGCTTCCATTTTACACATCTGTAGGATCACAATATACGTATATGCACGATGGAGCACCATGTCACACAGCCAAATCCGTTAAAACCTTGCTTTCATCAAAAAATATCCCTTTGCTCCCATGGCCAGGCAATTCTTCCGACATGAATGCTATAGAAAATGTCTGGAGCATACTTAAAAGAATAGTTTATGAATCTCCAAGCACCACATTACCACAGTTGAAAACAAAAATTACAGCTACATGTGAAAATAATGAAGACACAGCATACAAGCTGTCATCAAAGCAAAGGGTGGAAATACAAGATATTAACGTGTGTTAACAATATTATGTACAGTAGTAGTATATTATGTTAGTAGTTAATAAATTATATCATTACAATTTCAAAAAGCCTTTTAATTTTACGGAAAACGCGAAAAATACTTAAAATTTGTAGTGGTCCTAATTCAATGGCCAGGGACTGTACATATATTTCAAGCGAACAATCGACGGACGTTAAAACGAGTTTGACAGCGAGACAGTCAAGAATGTAATGCTTCTTCTTACATACTTTCTAAATCTTATATACTAAAGCTAAAGAAAGGTTTTTCGGCTGTGAAGTATTATGCCCACTTGCTATACTGCGCGGACCGTGCGTATTACACAGCTCCTTACTGTGTTCCTTTTCCTTGTGCTCGAAGGACCACCCAAACTGGTGTTTGGAAAAAAACCGATAACCTTGAAGCTCGTTGCTCTTTTTAGTTGCACAAGAATATTTCTAGACTTGTGGAGAATCGACTCGAGAATCTCATTCCAAAACTTAATGCTACCCTTAACCTTTGGTCAAGCCAATCCTCCAAGTCGTCACCTTGGCAGAGCGTTTCTTGCCTTTTGCAACATTCCTGCGCACTCTGCTGTCCAGTGTCCAGGTACACCATGCAATGGTGAGCGAGAACGTTGCCCCTTTTTAAATAAACATTTTGGGGAAAGTCAAAGCCCCCAAGACCCCGGTGATCTACAGCTGTGCGCTAACGCGGGTTTACGCGGGTTTAAAAGGAGGAGCTCCAAGGATTCCAAGTCCCGTGTGGAGTTTTGAGGATCTTTAATGACCGTAACATAATTTGTCAAGTAAAAATGTCTCGAAGTCCTAATCCTCAAAAATAGCGGAGAAGTCACGTCCGTACCATAAACCCCGCGATGTTAAGGTTCTTTTAGAATTCTTAATAAAAGGAAAGGAGCATGGTATGACGAATCTAGGTGAACTCTACCCAAAATGAGCAAGGGTAGACTTTGGCCATAAGGGCTTGTCATCTAGGCGACTAAGAGACGATGAGCCAGAGTATACATTGATAAGGAGGTTGGTCATCCAACAAGCGTTCAAAAATTAATTTTTTATAAAAACGAAATATGTGTCTTTTTTTGTCTTGAAAGTACCTATGAAATATGACCTGTTAAATTATAATATCTTCATCGTTGAGTTGCAAATTAAGAAAAACCATACAAAATAGAAATGGTTTCAAATTTTGTTGGTCTTTCAACAATTGCATTCAAATTTACGGTTTTTATGATCGATGTTAATATTAAATAGTATGTCTCCCAGATCGATACTTTAATTAGATTATGAGAAAGGTAATTCGTTTACTGAAATTTTGTGTGTAAGACTTTCATTGTTTTATAAATCGAATCTTGTAAAGAAATTTTGAATATAGAATTTATAAAGAATCTTTTATCCCCGTTTTGTTACTGTCGTAATCGCGTTGGAGGTAAGAGACTGTGTTTCATCGGGAATTTGAACATCCGGTAATAAGAAACACGATTCAAGAATCAACATTAGATGCTGTCACGTATTAAACATAGTTTAAATATATTACCTAAATATGCAATAAAATAGTCAATATGTTTTTTCCCATTTATGATGCATACGTGTTTTTCTTATTGTACATCATCGATAATGAAGATGATTCTTCTACAAAACATCTATAAAATTTGACTTTGTTCACTTTACTTTCAAAAGATACTTTGCGCAACTAAAGATAATGTTTTTTCGCCTTATCTATAAATACAATATAATAACAACAAGCATATGACAAAACGAAAATTAAAATAACGTAGAAATGTAGGTTTAAATTAGAAACAAGTACTATAATATGAACCATATTTTAATATTTTTACAGAAATATTAAAAAACAATGAATGTGCTGCATATTATATGATCAATTCGAAATTCAGCGAATTCGGTACATAATACAATGTTTACAATATAGCTACAAATATTTTAAACGTTATAAGAAGCGTTTATTTCTCAAAACAAAATTAACCATCATGCACTTTGTGGTGAAACAGGAATCATTCATTTCATAATTTCCTTACACTCGTAGAAATATAACAAATACAGTCGAGACAGCGATGCATGGAAAATTTAATACGCTCATAAAAAGAATCACAATACTCTATCATTAGATTTAAATAAATGTCTTGTAAACATTGAACGGAATTTTCCCTGTTATACTAAAAGGACGCACGAAACAGTCATTTCCAGGAAATACACTATTTATGAATGCTGGAGAAATATATCAGCTTTCATGCTTTCCTTAAACGTTACTGTAAGATCTGCGAATATCGGATCCACCATTCTTGAGGCCAGCTAGGTCACCACTCAAGATCTTGTAGATATTTGAATTATGGTTAACCGTTTTACGGATGTCAGAATCATCGTTAAAGATCTTGTGGATGTCCGAGCTATCCTTCAAAGTTTTACGAATGCTCGAGCCGTCATTCAAAATATTATGAACACTTGAGACACTATCCAAATAGTTCAATAAGCCAGAATCATCACCGACAGTGTTATGGATATTGGAACCACCGTTAATGAGGTTACGAATGTCCTAGACACCATCAACAACGTTCTGAAACTCAGACTTGTCGTTAACAGCATGGCGAATTACTGAATCCCGGTTTAAGATATTATACTCATTCGTGTCATCATTGAAAGAATTCTGGACCACGGACTCATTATCGATGACCTTCAGTAGTTTAGATTCATCGCCGTAAGCATTCAAAACATTGGCAGCACTCTCCATGTCCACGTTGTTACTAAAAGCATTTTGAATATTTAAACTATCGACAAAACTATTTTCAACATCCGAATTTTCGATCAAGGCCTTCCGCAAATCTATGACATCGTCCGCGGATTTACGTTTCATCAAGTCGTCAACAACAGCTACGCGGATTTCAGAATCGTCGCGAAGGGCGTCCACAATCTGAGCTCTATCACTGATTTCATTCCTAATAATACTCTCGTCATTGACAAAATTATTAATGCCAGTGTCATCGACGACACTATTATGAACGCCCGCGTCGTCATCAAAGGTATTATGAACATCAAAGTTGACGTTTATTGTATTGTGGACGTCCGGCTCATCGTCAGAACAGTTGCACATCTCAACAGTCGTGGGGGAACATGCCGGAATAGACGTAACCTGCGCTGAAGGAGTACTAGATGATTCTGGAGAATGCGATGGCGTAGGTGATGGCGTGGTTAACGGCGCTCGCTCTGTTGATACACTGGAAGATTGAAATGATGACCTGGACGTTGCCGATCTCGGTGTGTGAGTAGAATGAACTTCAGTTGACCCTTTGTTCCTTCGACTAGACCCCGACGATGCTGTGGATGCTCGCGACGTAGATGACGGTAGGGGAGAGGATGTCTCCGTCGAATACGGCGGTGTTGAGCCTCGTTGCGCTGAAGGAGTCCTAGATGATTGTGAAGAATAAGATGGTGTAGAGGATGGTGTGGTCAATGTCGATGGTGTGCTGGTCGATCCGGATGGTAATGTGCGCGCGGTGGATGTTGCCGTTCCCTTTGTGGATGAACTGGAGGATTGCGGTGATGTCCTGGACGCTGCAGATGTTGTGGTGAGCGTTGAGTGCCATCCAGTGGGCCCTGTATTCGAGGGGCTTGATGAAGACGATGCAGTGGAAGCTTGCGCCGTAGACGCTGGAGGTACAGTCGTTCTAGCCGAAGGAGTACTGGACGGTTGAGACGACTGCGTTGGCGTAGCGGATGGTGCGGTAACCGGCGATGATGAGCCGGTCGATCCAGATGGTGATGTGCGCCCTGTGGTTGTGGGCGTTGCCTTTCTGGATGTACTGGTAGATTCAGATGATGTCCTGGACGTAGCGGATGTTGGTCTGGGCGTTGAGTGCCTTTCAGTAGATCCTGTGTTCGTGGGGCTTGATGCCGACGATGCTGTGGTTCCATGTGACGTAGACGATGGAGATACAGTCGTCCTAGCCGACGGAGTACTGGATGCATGAGACGAGTGTGATGGCGTTGCGGATGGTGTGGTCAACGGCGATGATGTGCCGGTCGATCCAGATGGTGATGTACGCACTGTGGTTGTTGGCGTTGCCTTTCTGGATGTACTGGTAGATTCAGATGATGTCCTGGACGTAGCGGATGTTGGTGTGAGCGTTGAGTGCCTTTCAGTAGATCCTATGTTCGTGGGGATTGATGCCGACGATGCTGTGGATCCATGTGACGTAGACGATGGAGATACAGTCGTCCTAGCCGACGGAGTACTGGATGCTTGAGACGAGTGTGTTGGCGTTGCGGATGGTGTGGTCAACGGCGACGATGTGCCGGTCGATCCAGATGGTGATGTGCGCCCTGTGGTTGTTGGCGTTGCCTTTCTCGATGTACTGGTAGACTCAGATGATGTCCTGGACGTAGCGGATGTTGGTGTGGGCGTTGAGTGCCTTTCAGTAGATCCTGTGTTCGTGGGGCTTGATGCCGACGATGCTGTGGATCCATGTGACGTAGACGATGGGGCTACAGTCGTCCTGGCCGACGGAGTACTGGATGCATGAGACGAGTGTGATGGCGTTGCGGATGGTGTGGTCAACGGCGATGATGTGCCGGTCGATCCAGATGGTGATGTACGCCCTGTGGTTGTTGGCGTTGCCTTTCTGGATGTACTGGTAGATTCAGATGATGTCCTGGACGTAGCGGATGTTGGTGTGAGCGTTGAGTGCCTTTCAGTAGATCCTGTGTTCGTGGGGATTGATGCCGACAATGCTGTGGATCCATGTGACGTAGACGATGGAGATACAGTCGTCCTACCCGACGGAGTACTGGATGCATGAGACGAGTTTGATGGCGTTGCGGATGGTGTGGTCAACGGCGATGATGTGCCGGTCGATCCAGATGGTGATGTACGCCCTGTGGTTGTTGGCGTTGCCTTTCTGGATGTACTGGTAGATTCAGATGATGTCCTGGACGTAGCGGATGTTGAGGTGGGCGTTGAGTGCCTTTCAGTAGATCCTGTGTTCGTGGGGCTTGATGCCGACGATGCTGTGGATCCATGTGACGTAGACGATGGAGATACAGTCGTCCTAGCCGACGGAGTACTGGATGCATGAGACGAGTGTGATGGCGTTGCGGATGGTGTGGTCAACGGCGATGATGTGCCGGTCGATCCAGATGGCGATGTACGCCCTGTGGTTGTTGGCGTTGCCTTTCTGGATGTACTGGTAGATTCAGATGATGTCCTGGACGTAGCGGATGTTGGTGTGAGCGTTGAGTGCCTTTCAGTAGATCCTGTGTTCGTGGGGATTGATGCCGACGATGCTGTGGATCCATGTGACGTAGACGATGGAGATACAGTCGTCCTAGCCGACGGAGTACTGGATGCTTGAGACGAGTGTGTTGGCGTTGCGGATGGTGTGGTCAACGGCGACGATGTGCCGGTCGATCCAGATGGTGATGTGCGCCCTGTGGTTGTTGGCGTCGCCTTTCTGGATGTACTGGTAGACTCAGATGATGTCCTGGACGTAGCGGATGTTGGTGTGGGCGTTGAGTGCCTTTCAGTAGATCCTGTGTTCGTGGGGCTTGATGCCGACGATGCTGTGGATCCATGTGACGTAGACGATGGAGATACAGTCGTCCTAGCCGACGGAATACTGGATGCTTGAGACGAGTGTGTTGGCGTTGCGGATGGTGTGGTCAACGGCGACGATGTGCCGGTCGATCCAGATGGTGATGTGCGCCTTGTGGTTGCTGGCGTTGCCTTTATGGATGTACTGGTAGACTCAGATGATGTCCTGGACGTAGCGGATGTTGGTGTGGGCGTTGAGTGCCTTTCAGTAGATCCTGTGTTCGTGCGGCTTGATGCCGACGATGCTGTGGATCCATGTGACGTAGACGATGGAGATACAGTCGTCCTAGCCGACGGAGTACTGGATGCATGAGACGAGTGTGATGGCGTTGCGGATGGTGTGGTCACCGGCGATGATGTGCCGGTCGATCCAGATGGTGATGTACGCGCTGCGGTTGTTGGCGTTGCCTTTCTAGATGTACTGGCAGATTCAGATGATGTCCTGGACGTAGCGGATGCTGGTGTGGGCGTTGAGTGCCTTTCAGTAGATCCTGTGTTCGTGGGGATTGATGCCGACGATGCTGTGGATCCATGTGACTTAGACGATGGAGATACAGTTGTCCTAGCCGACGGAGTACTGGATGCATGAGACGAGTGTGATGGCGTTGCGGATGGTGTGGTCAACGGCGATGATGTGCCGGTCGATCCCGATGGTGATGTTCGCCCTGTGGTTGTTGGAGTTGCCTTTCTGGATGTACTGGTAGACTCAGATGATGTCCTGGACGTAGCGGATGTTGGTGTGGGCGTTGAGTGCCTTTCAGTAGATCCTGTGTTCGTGGGGCTTGATGCCGACGATGCTGTGGATCCATGTGACGTAGACGATGGAGATACAGTCGTCCTACCCGACGGAGTACTGGATGCATGAGACGATTGTGATGGCGTTGCGGATGGTGTGGTCGTCGGCGATGATGTGCCGGTCGATCCAGATGGTGATGTACGCGCTGCGGTTGTTGGCGTTGCCTTTCTAGATGTACTGGTAGATTCAGATGATGTCCTGGACGTAGCGGATGCTGGTGTGGGCGTTGAGTGCCTTTCAGTAGATCCTGTGTTCGTGGGGATTGATGCCGACGATGCTGTGGATCCATGTGACTTAGACGATGGAGATACAGTTGTCCTAGCCGACGGAGTACTGGATGCATGAGACGATTGTGATGGCGTTGCGGATGGTGTGGTCGTCGGCGATGATGTGCCGGTCGATCCAGATGGTGATGTACGCCCTGTGGTTGTTGGCGTTGCCTTTCTGGATGTACTGGTAGATTCAGAGGATGTCCTGGACGTAGCGGATGTTGGTGTGGGCGTTGAGAGCCTTTCAGTAGATCCTGTGTTCGTGGGGCGTGATGACGACGATGCTGTGGATCCATGTGACGTAGACGATGGAGATACAGTCGTCCTAGCCGACGGAGTACTGGATGCTTGAGACGAGTGTGTTGGCGTTGCGGATGGTGTGGTCAACGGCGACGATGTGCCGGTCGATCCAGATGGTGATGTGCGCCCTGTGGTTGTTGGCGTCGCCTTTCTGGATGTACTGGTAGACTCAGATGATGTCCTGGACGTAGCGGATGTTGGTGTGGGCGTTGAGTGCCTTTCAGTAGATCCTGTGTTCGTGGGGCTTGATGCCGACGATGCTGTGGATCCATGTGACGTAGACGATGGAGATACAGTCGTCCTAGCCGACGGAATACTGGATGCTTGAGACGAGTGTGTTGGCGTTGCGGATGGTGTGGTCAACGGCGACGATGTGCCGGTCGATCCAGATGGTGATGTGCGCCTTGTGGTTGCTGGCGTTGCCTTTATGGATGTACTGGTAGACTCAGATGATGTCCTGGACGTAGCGGATGTTGGTGTGGGCGTTGAGTGCCTTTCAGTAGATCCTGTGTTCGTGCGGCTTGATGCCGACGATGCTGTGGATCCATGTGACGTAGACGATGGAGATACAGTCGTCCTAGCCGACGGAGTACTGGATGCATGAGACGAGTGTGATGGCGTTGCGGATGGTGTGGTCACCGGCGATGATGTGCCGGTCGATCCAGATGGTGATGTACGCGCTGCGGTTGTTGGCGTTGCCTTTCTAGATGTACTGGCAGATTCAGATGATGTCCTGGACGTAGCGGATGCTGGTGTGGGCGTTGAGTGCCTTTCAGTAGATCCTGTGTTCGTGGGGATTGATGCCGACGATGCTGTGGATCCATGTGACTTAGACGATGGAGATACAGTTGTCCTAGCCGACGGAGTACTGGATGCATGAGACGAGTGTGATGGCGTTGCGGATGGTGTGGTCAACGGCGATGATGTGCCGGTCGATCCCGATGGTGATGTTCGCCCTGTGGTTGTTGGAGTTGCCTTTCTGGATGTACTGGTAGACTCAGATGATGTCCTGGACGTAGCGGATGTTGGTGTGGGCGTTGAGTGCCTTTCAGTAGATCCTGTGTTCGTGGGGCTTGATGCCGACGATGCTGTGGATCCATGTGACGTAGACGATGGAGATACAGTCGTCCTACCCGACGGAGTACTGGATGCATGAGACGATTGTGATGGCGTTGCGGATGGTGTGGTCGTCGGCGATGATGTGCCGGTCGATCCAGATGGTGATGTACGCGCTGCGGTTGTTGGCGTTGCCTTTCTAGATGTACTGGTAGATTCAGATGATGTCCTGGACGTAGCGGATGCTGGTGTGGGCGTTGAGTGCCTTTCAGTAGATCCTGTGTTCGTGGGGATTGATGCCGACGATGCTGTGGATCCATGTGACTTAGACGATGGAGATACAGTTGTCCTAGCCGACGGAGTACTGGATGCATGAGACGATTGTGATGGCGTTGCGGATGGTGTGGTCGTCGGCGATGATGTGCCGGTCGATCCAGATGGTGATGTACGCCCTGTGGTTGTTGGCGTTGCCTTTCTGGATGTACTGGTAGATTCAGAGGATGTCCTGGACGTAGCGGATGTTGGTGTGGGCGTTGAGAGCCTTTCAGTAGATCCTGTGTTCGTGGGGCGTGATGACGACGATGCTGTGGATCCATGTGACGTAGACGATGGAGATACAGTCGTCCTAGCCGACGGAGTACTGGATGCTTGAGACGAGTGTGTTGGCGTTGCGGATGGTGTGGTCAACGGCGACGATGTGCCGGTCGATCCAGATGGTGATGTGCGCCCTGTGGTTGTTGGCGTTGCCTTTCTCGATGTACTGGTAGACTCAGATGATGTCCTGGACGTAGCGGATGTTGGTGTGGGCGTTGAGTGCCTTTCAGTAGATCCTGTGTTCGTGGGGCTTGATGCCGACGATGCTGTGGATCCATGTGACGTAGACGATGGGGCTACAGTCGTCCTGGCCGACGGAGTACTGGATGCATGAGACGAGTGTGATGGCGTTGCGGATGGTGTGGTCAACGGCGATGATGTGCCGGTCGATCCAGATGGTGATGTACGCCCTGTGGTTGTTGGCGTTGCCTTTCTGGATGTACTGGTAGATTCAGATGATGTCCTGGACGTAGCGGATGTTGGTGTGAGCGTTGAGTGCCTTTCAGTAGATCCTGTGTTCGTGGGGATTGATGCCGACAATGCTGTGGATCCATGTGACGTAGACGATGGAGATACAGTCGTCCTACCCGACGGAGTACTGGATGCATGAGACGAGTGTGATGGCGTTGCGGATGGTGTGGTCAACGGCGATGATGTGCCGGTCGATCCAGATGGTGATGTACGCCCTGTGGTTGTTGGCGTTGCCTTTCTGGATGTACTGGTAGACTCAGACGATGTCCTGGACGTAGCGGATGTTGGTGTGGGCGTTGAGTGCCTTTCAGTAGATCCTGTGTTCGTGGGGCTTGATGACGACGATGCTGTGGATCCATGTGACGTAGACGATGGAGATACAGTCGTCCTAGCCGACGGAATACTGGATGCTTGAGACGAGTGTGTTGGCGTTGCGGATGGTGTGGTCAACGGCGACGATGTGCCGGTCGATCCAGATGGTGATGTGCGCCTTGTGGTTGCTGGCGTTGCCTTTATGGATGTACTGGTAGACTCAGATGATGTCCTGGACGTAGCGGATGTTGGTGTGGGCGTTGAGTGCCTTTCAGTAGATCCTGTGTTCGTGCGGCTTGATGCCGACGATGCTGTGGATCCATGTGACGTAGACGATGGAGATACAGTCGTCCTAGCCGACGGAGTACTGGATGCATGAGACGAGTGTGATGGCGTTGCGGATGGTGTGGTCACCGGCGATGATGTGCCGGTCGATCCAGATGGTGATGTACGCGCTGCGGTTGTTGGCGTTGCCTTTCTAGATGTACTGGCAGATTCAGATGATGTCCTGGACGTAGCGGATGCTGGTGTGGGCGTTGAGTGCCTTTCAGTAGATCCTGTGTTCGTGGGGATTGATGCCGACGATGCTGTGGATCCATGTGACTTAGACGATGGAGATACAGTTGTCCTAGCCGACGGAGTACTGGATGCATGAGACGATTGTGATGGCGTTGCGGATGGTGTGGTCGTCGGCGATGATGTGCCGGTCGATCCAGATGGTGATGTACGCGCTGCGGTTGTTGGCGTTGCCTTTCTAGATGTACTGGTAGATTCAGATGATGTCCTGGACGTAGCGGATGCTGGTGTGGGCGTTGAGTGCCTTTCAGTAGATCCTGTGTTCGTGGGGATTGATGCCGACGATGCTGTGGATCCATGTGACTTAGACGATGGAGATACAGTTGTCCTAGCCGACGGAGTACTGGATGCATGAGACGATTGTGATGGCGTTGCGGATGGTGTGGTCGTCGGCGATGATGTGCCGGTCGATCCAGATGGTGATGTACGCCCTGTGGTTGTTGGCGTTGCCTTTCTGGATGTACTGGTAGATTCAGAGGATGTCCTGGACGTAGCGGATGTTGGTGTGGGCGTTGAGAGCCTTTCAGTAGATCCTGTGTTCGTGGGGCGTGATGACGACGATGCTGTGGATCCATGTGACGTAGACGATGGAGATACAGTCGTCCTGGCCGACGGAGTACTGGATGCATGAGACGAGTGTGATGGCGTTGCGGATGGTGTGGTCAACGGCGATGATGTGCCGGTCGATCCAGATGGTGATGTACGCCCTGTGGTTGTTGGCGTTGCCTTTCTGGATGTACTGGTAGATTCAGATGATGTCCTGGACGTAGCGGATGTTGGTGTGAGCGTTGAGTGCCTTTCAGTAGATCCTGTGTTCGTGGGGATTGATGCCGACGATGCTGTGGATCCATGTGACGTAGACGATGGAGATACAGTCGTCCTAGCCGACGGAGTACTGGATGCTTGAGACGAGTGTGTTGGCGTTGCGGATGGTGTGGTCAACGGCGATGATGTGCCGGTCGATCCAGATGGTGATGTACGCCCTGTGGTTGTTGGCGTTGCCTTTCTGGATGTACTGGTAGATTTAGATGATGTCCTGGACGTAGCGGATGTTGGTGTGGGCGTTGGGTGCCTTTCAGTAGATCCTGTGTCCGTGGGGATTGATGCCGACGATGCTGTGGTTCCATGTGACGTAGACGATGGAGATACAGTCGTCCTAACCGACGGAGTACTGGATGCATGAGACGAGTGTGATGGCGTTGCGGATGGTGTGGTCAACGGCGATGATGTGCCGGTCGATCCAGATGGTGATGTACGCCCTGTGGTTGTTGGCGTTGCCTTTCTGGATGTACTGGTAGATTCAGATGATGTCCTGGACGTAGCGGATGTTGGTGCGAGCGTTGAGTGCCTTTCAGTAGATCCTATGTTCGTGGGGATTGATGCCGACGATGCTGTGGATCCATGTGACGTAGACGATGGAGATACAGTCGTCCTAGCCGACGGAGTACTGGATGCTTGAGACGAGTGTGTTGGCGTTGCGGATGGTGTGGTCAACGGCGACGATGTGCCGGTCGATCCAGATGGTGATGTGCGCCCTGTGGTTGTTGGCGTTGCCTTTCTGGATGTACTGGTAGACTCAGACGATGTCCTGGACGTAGCGGATGTTGGTGTGGGCGTTGAGTGCCTTTCAGTAGATCCTGTGTTCGTGGGGCTTGATGACGACGATGCTGTGGATCCATGTGACGTAGACGATGGAGATACAGTCGTCCTAGCCGACGGAGTACTGGATGCATGAGACGAGTGTGATGGCGTTGCGGATGGTGTGGTCAACGGCGATGATGTGCCGGTCGATCCAGATGGTGATGTACGCCCTGTGGTTGTTGGCGTTGCCTTTCTGGATGTACTGGTAGATTCAGATGATGTCCTGGACGTAGCGGATGTTGGTGTGAGCGTTGAGTGCCTTTCAGTAGATCCTGTGTTCGTGGGGATTGATGCCGACGATGCTCTGGATCCATGTGACGTAGACGATGGAGATACAGTCGTCCTAGCCGACGGAGTACTGGATGCATGAGACGAGTGTGATGGCGTTGCGGATGGTGTGGTCACCGGCGATGATGTGCCGGTCGATCCAGATGGTGATGTGCGCCCTGTCGTTGTTGGAGTTGCCTTTCTGGATGTACTGGTAGACTCAGATGATGTCCTGGACGTAGCGGATGTTGGTGTGGGCGTTGAGTGCCTTTCAGTAGATACTGTGTTCGTGGGGCTTGATGACGACGATGCTGTGGATCCATGTGACGTAGACGATGGAGATACAGTCGTCCTAGCCGACGGAGTACTGGATGCCTGAGACGAGTGTGTTGGCGTTGCAGATGGTGTGGTCAACGGCGATGATGTGCCGGTCGATCCAGATGGTGATGTACGCCCTGTGGTTGTCGGCGTTGCCTTTCTGGATGTACTGGTAGATTCAGATGATGTCCTGGACGTAGCGGATGTTGGTGTGTTCGTTGAGTGCCTTTCAGTAGATCCTGTGTTCGTGGGGCTTGATGACGACGATGCTGTGGATCCATGTGACGTAGACGATGGAGATACAGTCGTCCTAGCCGATGGAGTACTGGATGCATGAGACGAGTGTGTTGGCGTTGCGGATGGTGTGGTCAACGGCGATGATGTGCCGGTCGATCCAGATGGTGATGTACGCCTTGTGGTTGTTGGCGTTGCCTTTCTGGATGTACTGGTAGATTCAGATGATGTCCTGGACGTAGCGGATGTTGGTGTGAGCGTTGAGTGCCTTTCAGTAGATCCTGTGTTCGTGGGGATTGATGCCGACGATGCTGTGGATCCATGTGACGTAGACGATGGAGATACAGTCGTCCTACCCGACGGAGTACTGGATGCATGAGACGAGTGTGATGGCGTTGCGGATGGTGTGGTCAACGGCGATGATGTGCCGGTCGATCCAGATGGTGATGTACGCCCTGTGGTTGTTGGCGTTGCCTTTCTGGATGTACTGGTAGATTCAGATGATGTCCTGGACGTAGCGGATGTTGGTGTGAGCGTTGAGTGCCTTTCAGTAGATCCTGTGTTCGTGGGGATTGATGCCGATGATGCTGTGGATCCATGTGACGTAGACGATGGAGATACAGTTGTCCTAGCCGACGGAGTACTGGATGCTTGAGACGAGTGTGTTGGCGTTGCGGATGGTATGGTCAACGGCGACGATGTGCCGGTCGATCCAGATGGTGATGTGCGCCCTGTCGTTGTTGGCGTTGCCTTTCTGGATGTACTGGTAGATTCAGATGATGTCCTGGACGTAGCGGATGTTGGTGTGAGCGTTGAGTGCCTTTCAGTAGATCCTGTGTTCGTGGGGATTGATGCCGACGATGCTCTGGATCCATGTGACGTAGACGATGGAGATACAGTCGTCCTAGCCGACGGAGTACTGGATGCATGAGACGAGTGTGATGGCGTTGCGGATGGTGTGGTCACCGGCGATGATGTGCCGGTCGATCCAGATGGTGATGTGCGCCCTGTCGTTGTTGGAGTTGCCTTTCTGGATGTACTGGTAGACTCAGATGATGTCCTGGACGTAGCGGATGTTGGTGTGGGCGTTGAGTGCCTTTCAGTAGATACTGTGTTCGTGGGGCTTGATGACGACGATGCTGTGGATCCATGTGACGTAGACGATGGAGATACAGTCGTCCTAGCCGACGGAGTACTGGATGCCTGAGACGAGTGTGTTGGCGTTGCAGATGGTGTGGTCAACGGCGATGATGTGCCGGTCGATCCAGATGGTGATGTACGCCCTGTGGTTGTCGGCGTTGCCTTTCTGGATGTACTGGTAGATTCAGATGATGTCCTGGACGTAGCGGATGTTGGTGTGTTCGTTGAGTGCCTTTCAGTAGATCCTGTGTTCGTGGGGCTTGATGACGACGATGCTGTGGATCCATGTGACGTAGACGATGGAGATACAGTCGTCCTAGCCGATGGAGTACTGGATGCATGAGACGAGTGTGTTGGCGTTGCGGATGGTGTGGTCAACGGCGATGATGTGCCGGTCGATCCAGATGGTGATGTACGCCTTGTGGTTGTTGGCGTTGCCTTTCTGGATGTACTGGTAGATTCAGATGATGTCCTGGACGTAGCGGATGTTGGTGTGAGCGTTGAGTGCCTTTCAGTAGATCCTGTGTTCGTGGGGATTGATGCCGACGATGCTGTGGATCCATGTGACGTAGACGATGGAGATACAGTCGTCCTACCCGACGGAGTACTGGATGCATGAGACGAGTGTGATGGCGTTGCGGATGGTGTGGTCAACGGCGATGATGTGCCGGTCGATCCAGATGGTGATGTACGCCCTGTGGTTGTTGGCGTTGCCTTTCTGGATGTACTGGTAGATTCAGATGATGTCCTGGACGTAGCGGATGTTGGTGTGAGCGTTGAGTGCCTTTCAGTAGATCCTGTGTTCGTGGGGATTGATGCCGATGATGCTGTGGATCCATGTGACGTAGACGATGGAGATACAGTCGTCCTAGCCGACGGAGTACTGGATGCTTGAGACGAGTGTGTTGGCGTTGCGGATGGTATGGTCAACGGCGACGATGTGCCGGTCGATCCAGATGGTGATGTGCGCCCTGTCGTTGTTGGAGTTGCCTTTCTGGATGTACTGGTAGACTCAGATGATGTCCTGGACGTAGCGGATGTTGGTGTGGGCGTTGAGTGCCTTTCAGTAGATCCTGTGTTCGTGGGGCTTGATGCCGACGATGCTGTGGATCCATGTGACGTAGACGATGGAGATACAGTCGTCCTAGCCGACGGAATACTGGATGCTTGAGACGAGTGTGTTGGCGTTGCGGATGGTGTGGTCAACGGCGACGATGTGCCGGTCGATCCAGATGGTGATGTGCGCCTTGTGGTTGCTGGCGTTGCCTTTATGGATGTACTGGTAGACTCATATGATGTCCTGGACGTAGCGGATGTTGGTGTGGGCGTTGAGTGCCTTTCAGTAGATCCTGTGTTCGTGCGGCTTGATGCCGACGATGCTGTGGATCCATGTGACGTAGACGATGGAGATACAGTCGTCCTAGCCGACGGAGTACTGGATGCATGAGACGAGTGTGATGGCGTTGCGGATGGTGTGGTCACCGGCGATGATGTGCCGGTCGATCCAGATGGTGATGTACGCGCTGCGGTTGTTGGAGTTGCCTTTCTGGATGTACTGGTAGACTCAGATGATGTCCTGGACGTAGCGGATGTTGGTGTGGGCGTTGAGTGCCTTTCAGTAGATCCTGTGTTCGTGGGGCTTGATGCCGACGATGCTGTGGATCCATGTGACGTAGACGATGGAGATACAGTCGTCCTACCCGACGGAGTACTGGATGCATGAGACGATTGTGATGGCGTTGCGGATGGTGTGGTCGTCGGCGATGATGTGCCGGTCGATCCAGATGGTGATGTACGCCCTGTGGTTGTTGGCGTTGCCTTTCTGGATGTACTGGTAGATTCAGAGGATGTCCTGGACGTAGCGGATGTTGGTGTGGGCGTTGAGTGCCTTTCAGTAGATCCTGTGTTCGTGGGGCGTGATGACGACGATGCTGTGGATCCATGTGACGTAGACGATGGAGATACAGTCGTCCTGGCCGACGGAGTACTGGATGCTTGAGACGAGTGTGTTGGCGTTGCGGATGGTGTGGTCAACGGCGATGATGTGCCGGTCGATCCAGATGGTGATGTGCGCCCTGTAGTTGTTGGCGTTGCCTTTCTGGATGTATTGGTAGACTCAGCTGATGTCCTGGACGTAGCGGATGTTGGAGTGGGCGTTGAGTGCCTTTCAGTAGATCCTGTGTCCGTGGGGATTGATGCCGACGATGCTGTGTTTCCATGTGACGTAGACGATGGAGATACAGTCGTCCTAGCCGACGGAGTACTGGATGCCTGAGACGAGTGTGTTGGCGTTGCAGATGGTGTGGTCAACGGCGATGATGTGCCGGTCGATCCAGATGGTGATGTACGCCCTGTGGTTGTCGGCGTTGCCTTTCTGGATGTACTGGTAGATTCGGATGATGTCCTCGAAGTAGCGGATGTTGGTGTGGGCGTTGAGTGCCTTTCAGTAGATCCTGTGTTCGTGGGGCTTGATGACGACGATGCTGTGGATCCATGTGACGTAGACGATGGAGATACAGTCGTCCTGGCCGACGGAGTACTGGATGCAAGAGACGAGTGTGTTGGCGTTGCGTCTGGTGTGGTCAACGGCGATGATGTGCCGGTCGATCCAGATGGTGATGTGCGCCCTGTGGTTGTTGGCGTTGCCTTTCTGGATGTACTGGTAGATTCGGATGATGTCCTCGAAGTAGCGGATGTTGGTGTGGGCGTTGAGTGCCTTTCAGTAGATCCTGTGTTCGTGGGGCTTGATGCCGACGATGCTGTGGATCCATGTGACGCAGACGATGGGGATACAGTCGTCCTGGCCAACGGAGTACTGGATGCATGAGACGAGTGTGTTGGCGTTGCGGATGGTGTGGTCAACGGCGATGATGTGCCGGCCGATCCAGATGGTGATGTGCGCCCTGTGGTTGTTCGCGTTGCCTTTCTGGATGTACTGGTAGATTCGGATGATGTCCTCGACGTAGCGAATGTTGGTGTGGGCGTTGAGTGCTTTTCAGTAGATCCAGTGTTCGTGGTGCTTGATGACGACGATGCTGTGGATCCATGTGACGTAGACGATGGAGATACAGTCGTCCTAGCCGACGGAGTACTGGATGCATGAGACGAGTGTGTTGGCGTTGCGGATGGTGTGGTCAACGGCGATGATGTGCCGGTCGATCCAGATGGTGATGTACGCCTTGTGGTTGTCGGCGTTGCCTTTCTGGATGTACTGGTAGATTCAGATGATGTCCTGGACGTAGCGGATGTTGGTGTGGGCGTTGAGTGCCTTTCAGTAGATCCTGTGTTCGTGGGGCTTGGTGACGACGATGCTGTGGATCCATGTGACGTAGACGATGGAGATACAGTCGTCCTAGCCGACGGAGTACTGGATGCATGAGACGAGTGTGTTGGCGTTGCGGATGGTGTGGTCAACGGCGATGATGTGCCGGTCGATCCAGATGGTGATGTACGCCTTGTGGTTGTCGGCGTTGCCTTTCTGGATGTACTGGTAGATTCGGATGATGTCCTCGAAGTAGCGGATGTTGGTGTGGGCGTTGAGTGCCTTTCAGTAGATCCTGTGTTCGTGGGGCTTGATGCCGACGATGCTGTGGATCCATGTGACGTAGACGATGGGGATACAGTCGTCCTGGCCAACGGAGTACTGGATGCATGAGACGAGTGTGTTGGCGTTGCGGATGGTGTGGTCAACGGCGATGATGTGCCGGTCGATCCAGATGGTGATGTACGCCCTGTGGTTGTCGGCGTTGCCTTTCTGGATGTACTGGTAGATTCAGATGATGTCCTGGACGTAGCGGATGTTGGTGTGGGCGTTGAGTGCCTTTCAGTAGATCCTGTGTTCGTGGGGCTTGATGACGACGATGCTGTGGATCCATGTGACGTAGACGATGGAGATACAGTCGTCCTAGCCGACGGAGTACTGGATGCATGAGACGAGTGTGTTGGCGTTGCGGATGGTGTGGTCAACGGCGATGATGTGCCGGTCGATCCAGATGGTGATGTGCGCCCTGTGGTTGTTGGCGTTGCCTTTCTGGATGTACTTGTGGATTCGGATGATGTCCTCGACGTAGCGGATGTTGGTGTGGGCGTTGAGTGCCTTTCAGTAGATCCTGTGTTCGTGTGGCTTGATGACGACGATGCTGTGGATCCATATGACGTAGACGATGGAGATACAGTTGTCCTAGCCGACGGAGTATTGGATGCATGAGACAAGTGTGTTGGCGTTGCGGATGGTGTGGTCAACGGCGATGATGTACCGGTCGATCCAGATGGTGATGTGCGCCCTGTGGTTGTTGGCGTTGACTTTCTGGATGTACTGATAGATTCAGATGATGTCCTGGACGTAGCGGATGTTGGTGTGGGCGTTGAGTGCCTTTCAGTAGATCCTGTGTTCGTGGGGCTTGATGCCGACGATGCTGTGGATCCATGTGACGTAGACGATGGAGATACAGTCGTCCTAGCCGACGGAGTACTGGATGCTTGAGACGAGTGTGTTGGCGTTGCGGATGGTGTGGTCAACGGCGATGATGTGCCGGTCGATCCAGATGGTGATGTACGCCCTGTGGTTGTGGGCGTTGCCTTTCTGGATGTACTGGTAGATTCAGATGATGTCCTGGACGTAGCGGATGTTGGTGTGGGCGTTGAGTGCCTTTCAGTAGATCCTGTGTTCGTGGGGCTTGATGCCGACGATGCTGTGGATCCATGTGACGTAGACGATGGGGATACAGTCGTCCTGGCCGACGGAGTACTAGATGCATGAGACGAGTGTGTTGGCGTTGCGGTTGGTGTGGTCAACGGCGATGATGTGCCGGTCGATCCAGATGGTGATGTACGCCCTGTGGTTGTGGGCGTTGCCTTTCTGGATGTACTGGTAGATTCAGATGATGTCCTGGACGTAGCGGATGTTGGTGTGGGCGTTGAGTGCCTTTCAGTAGATCCTGTGTTCGTGTGGCTTGATGACGACGATGCTGTGGATCCATATGACGTAGACGATGGAGATACAGTTGTCCTAGCCGTCGGAGTATTGGATGCATGAGACGAGTGTGTTGGCGTTGCGGATGGTGTGGTCAACGGCGATGATGTACCGGTCGATCCAGATGGTGATGTGCGCCCTGTGGTTGTTGGCGTTGCCTTTCTGGATGTACTGGTAGATTCAGATGATGTCCTGGACGTAGCGGATGTTGGTGTGGGCGTTGAGTTCCTTTCAGTAGATCCTGTGTTCGTGGGGCTTGATGCCGACGATGCAGTGGATCCATGTGACGTAGACGATGGAGATACAGTCGTCCTGGCCGACGGTGTACTGGATGCATGAGACGAGTGTGTTGGCGTTGCGGATGGTGTGGTCAACTGCGATGATGTGCCGGTCGATCCAGATGGTGATGTTCGCCCTGTGGTTGTTGGAGTTGCCTTTCTGGATGTACTGGTAGACTCAGATGATGTCCTGGACGTAGCGGATGTTGGTGTGGGCGTTGAGTGCCTTTCTGTAGATCCTGTGTTCGTGGGGCTTGATGCCGACGACGCTGTGGATCCATGTGACGTAGACGATGGGGATACAGTCGTCCTGGCCGACGGAGTACTGGATGCATGAGACGAGTGTGTTGGCGTTGCGGATGGTGTGGTCAACGGCGATGATGTGCCGGTCGATACAGATGGTGATGTGCGCCCTGTGGTTGTTGGCGTTGCCTTTCTGGATGTACTGTTAGATTCGGATGATGTCCTCGACGAAGCGGATGTTGGTGTGGGCGTTGAGTGCCTTTCATTAGATCCTGTGTTCGTGGGGCTTGATGCCGACGACGCTGTGGATCCATGTGACGTAGACGATGGGGATACAGTCGTCCTGGCCGACGGAGTACTGGATGCATGAGACGAGTGTGTTGGCGTTGCGGATGGTGTGGTCAACGGCGATGATGTGCCGGTCGATTCAGATGGTGATGTGCGCCCTGTGGTTGTTGGAGTTGCCTTTCTGGATGTACTGGTAGACTCAGATGATGTCCTGGACGTAGCGGATGGTGGTGTGGGCGTTGAGTGCCTTTCTGTAGATCTTGTGTTCGTGGGGCTTGATGCCGACGACGCTGTGGATCCATGTGACGTAGACGATGGGGATACAGTCGTCCTGGCCGACGGAGTACTGGATGCATGAGACGAGTGTGTTGGCGTTGCGGATGGTGTGGTCAACGGCGATGATGTGCCGGTCGATTCAGATGGTGATGTTCGCCCTGTGGTTGTTGGAGTTGCCTTTCTGGATGTACTGGTAGACTCAGATGATGTCCTGGACGTAGCGGATGTTGGTGTGGGCGTTGAGTGCCTTTCTGTAGATCCTGTGTTCGTGGGGCTTGATGCCGACGACGCTGTGGATCCATGTGACGTAGACGATGGGGATACAGTCGTCCTGGCCGACGGAGTACTGGATGCATGAGACGAGTGTGTTGGCGTTGCGTCTGGTGTGGTCAACGGCGATGATGTGCCGGTCGATCCAGATGGTGATGTGCGCCCTGTGGTTGTTGGCGTTGCCTTTCTGGATGTACTGGTAGATTCGGATGATGTCCTCGAAGTAGCGGATGTTGGTGTGGGCGTTGAGTGCCTTTCAGTAGATCCTGTGTTCGTGGGGCTTGATGCCGACGATGCTGTGGATCCATGTGACGTAGACGATGGGGATACAGTCGTCCTGGCCAACGGAGTACTGGATGCATGAGACGAGTGTGTTGGCGTTGCGGATGATGTGGTCAACGGCGATGATGTGCCGGTCGATCCAGATGGTGATGTGCGCCCTGTGGTTGTTGGCGTTGCCTTTCTGGATGTACTGGTAGATTCGGATGATGTCCTCGACGTAGCGGATGTTGGTGTGGGCGTTGAGTGCTTTTCAGTAGATCCTGTGTTCGTGGGGCTTGATGCCGACGATGCTGTGGATCCATGTGACGTAGACGATGGGGATACAGTCGTCCTGGCCAACGGAGTACTGGATGCATGAGACGAGTGTGTTGGCGTTGCGTCTGGTGTGGTCAACGGCGATGATGTGCCGGTCGATCCAGATGGTGATGTGCGCCCTGTGGTTGTTGGCGTTGCCTTTCTGGATGTACTGGTAGATTCGGATGATGTCCTCGAAGTAGCGGATGTTGGTGTGGGCGTTGAGTGCCTTTCAGTAGATCCTGTGTTCGTGGGGCTTGATGCCGACGATGCTGTGGATCCATGTGACGTAGACGATGGGGATACAGTCGTCCTGGCCAACGGAGTACTGGATGCATGAGACGAGTGTGTTGGCGTTGCGGATGATGTGGTCAACGGCGATGATGTGCCGGTCGATCCAGATGGTGATGTGCGCCCTGTGGTTGTTGGCGTTGCCTTTCTGGATGTACTGGTAGATTCGGATGATGTCCTCGACGTAGCGGATGTTGGTGTGGGCGTTGAGTGCTTTTCAGTAGATCCTGTGTTCGTGGGGCTTGATGACGACGATGCTGTGGATCCATGTGACGTAGACGATGGAGATACAGTCGTCCTAGCCGACGGAGTACTGGATGCATGAGACGAGTGTGTTGGCGTTGCGGATGGTGCGGTCAACGGCGATGATGTGCCGGTCGATCCAGATGGTGATGTACGCCTTGTGGTTGTCGGCGTTGCCTTTCTGGATGTACTGGTAGATTCAGATGATGTCCTGGACGTAGCGGATGTTGGTGTGGACGTTGAGTGCCTTTCAGTAGATCCTGTGTTCCTGGTGCTTGATGACGACGATGGTGTGGATCCATGTGACGTAGATGATGAAGATACAGTCGGCCTAACCGACGAAGTACTGGATGCATGAGACGAGTGTGTTGGCGTTGCGGATGGTGTGGTCAACGGCGATGATGTGCCGGTCGATCCAGATGGTGATGTGCGCCCTGTGGTTGTTGGCGTTGCCTTTCTGGATGTACTGGTAGATTCAGATGATGTCCTGGACGTAGCGGATGTTGGTGTGGGCGTTGAGTGCCTTTCAGTAGATCCTGTGTTCGTGGGGCTTGATGCCGACGATGCAGTGGATCCATGTGACGTAGACGATGGAGATACAGTCGTCCTAGCCGACGGAGTACTGGATGCATGAGACGAGTGTGTTGGCGTTGCGGATGGTGTGGTCAACGGCGATGATGTGCCGGTCGATCCAGATGGTGATGTGCGCCCTGTGGTTGTTGGCGTTGCCTTTCTGGATGTACTGGTAGATTCGGATGATGTCCTCGACGTAGCGGATGTTGGTGTGGGCGTTGAGTGCCTTTCAGTAGATCCTGTGTTCGTGGGGCTTGATGCCGACGATGCTGTGGATCCATGTGACGTAGACGATGGGGATACAGTCGTCCTGGCCGACGGAGTACTGGATTCATGAGACGAGTGTGTTGGCGGTGCGGTTGGTGTGGTCAACGGCGATGATGTGCCGGTCGATCCAGATGGTGATGTACGCCCTGTGGTTGTCGGCGTTGCCTTTCTGGATGTACTGGTAGATTCAGATGATGTCCTGGACGTAGCGGATGTTGGTGTGGGCGTTGAGTGCCTTTCAGTAGATCCTGTGTTCGTGGGGCTTGATGACGACGATGCTGTGGATCCATGTGACGTAGACGATGGGGATACAGTCGTCCTGGCCAACGGAGTACTGGATGCATGAGACGAGTGTGTTGGCGTTGCGGATGGTGTGGTCAACGGCGATGATGTGCCGGTCGATCCAGATGGTGATGTGCGCCCTGTGGTTGTTGGCGTTGCCATTCTGGATGTACTTGTGGATTCGGATGATGTCATCGACGTAGCGGATGTTTGTGTGGGCGTTGAGTGCCTTTCAGTAGATCCTGTGTTCGCGGTGCTTGATGCCGACGATGCTGTGGATCCATGTGACGTAGACGATGGGGCTACAGTCGTCCTGGCCGACGGAGTACTGGATGCATGAGACGAGTGTGTTGGCGTTGCAGATGGTGTGGTCAACGGCGATGATGTGCCGGTCGATCCAGATGGTGATGTGTGCCCTGTGGTTGTTGGCGTTGCCTTTCTGGATGTACTAGTAGATTCGGATGATGTCCTCGAAGTAGCGGATGTTGGTGTGGGCGTTGAGTGCCTTTCAGTAGATCCTGTGTTCGTGGTGCGTGATGACGACGATGCTGTGGATCCATGTGACGTAGACGATGGGGCTACAGTCGTCCTGGCCGACGGAGTACTGGATGCATGAGACGAGTGTGTTGGCGTTGCAGATGGTGTGGTAAACGGCGATGATGTGCCGGTCGATTCAGATGGTGATGTGCGCCCTGTGGTTGTTGGCGTTGCCTTTCTGGATGTACTGGTAGATTCGGATGATGTCCTGGACGTAGCGGATGTTGGTGTGGGCGTTGAGTGCCTTTCAGTAGATCCTGTGTTCGTGGGGCTTGATGACGACGATGCTGTGGATCCATGTGACGTAGACGATGGAGATACAGTCGTCCTAGCCGACGGAGTACTGGATGCATGAGACGAGTGTGTTGGCGTTGCAGATGGTGTGGTCAACGGCGATGATGTGCCGGTCGATTCAGATGGTGATGTGCGCCCTGTGGTTGTTGGCGTTGCCTTTCTGGATGTACTGGTAGATTCGGATGATGTCCTCGACGTAGCGGATGTTGGTGTGGGCGTTGAGTGCCTTTCAGTAGATCCTGTGTTCGTGGGGCTTGATGACGACGATGCTGTGGATCCATGTGACGTAGACGATGGAGATACAGTCGTCCTAGCCGACGGAGTACTGGATGCATGAGACGAGTGTGTTGGCGTTGCGGATGGTGTGGTCAACGGCGATGATGTGCCGGTCGATCCAGATGGTGATGTACGCCCTGTGGTTGTCGGCGTTGCCTTTCTGGTTGTACTGGTAGATTCAGATGATGTCCTGGACGTAGCGGATGTTGGTGTGGGCGTTGAGTGCCTTTCAGTAGATCCTGTGTTCGTGGGGCTTGATGACGACGATGCTGTGGATCCATGTGACGTAGACGATGGAGATACAGTCGTCCTAGCCGACGGAGTACTGGATGCATGAGACGAGTGTGTTGGCGTTGCAGATGGTGTGGACAACGGCGATGATGTGCCGGTCGATTCAGATGGTGATGTGCGCCCTGTGGTTGTTGGCGTTGCCTTTCTGGATGTACTGGTAGATTCGGATGATGTCTTCGACGTAGCGGATGTTGGTGTGGGCGTTGAGTGCCTTTCAGTAGATCCTGTGTTCGTGGTGCTTGATGACGACGATGCTGTGGATCCATGTGACGTAGATGATGAAGATACAGTCGTCCTAGCCGACGGAGTTCTGGATGCATGAGACGAGTGTGTTGGCGTTGCGGATGGTGTGGTCAACGGCGATGATGTGCCGGTCGATCCAGATGGTGATGTACGCCCCGTGGTTGTCGGCGTTGCCTTTCTGGATGTACTGGTAGATTCAGATGATGTCCTGGACGTAGCAGATGTTGGTGTGGGCGTTGAGTGCCTTTCAGTAGATCCTGTGTTCGTGGGGCTTGATGACGACGATGCTGTGGATCCATGTGACGTAGACGATGGAGATACAGTCGTCCTAGCCGACGGAGTACTGGATGCATGAGACGAGTGTGTTGGCGTTGCGGATGGTGTGGTCAACGGCGATGATGTGCCGGTCGATCCAGATGGTGATGTGCGCCCTGTGGTTGTTGGCGTTGCCATTCTGGATGTACTTGTGGATTCGGATGATGTCATCGACGTAGCGGATGTTTGTGTGGGCGTTGAGTGCCTTTCAGTAGATCCTGTGTTCGCGGTGCTTGATGCCGACGATGCTGTGGATCCATGTGACGTAGACGATGGGGATACAGTCGTCCTGGCCAACGGAGTACTGGATGCATGAGACGAGTGTGTTGGCGTTGCAGATGGTGTGGTCAACGGCGATGATGTGCCGGTCGATCCAGATGGTGATGTGCGCCCTGTGGTTGTTGGCGTTGCCTTTCTGGATGTACTGGTAGATTCGGATGATGTCCTCGAAGTAGCGGATGTTGGTGTGGGCGTTGAGTGCCTTTCAGTAGATCCTGTGTTCGTGGGGCTTGATGACGACGATGCTGTGGATCCATGTGACGTAGACGATGGAGATACAGTCGTCCTAGCCGACGGAGTACTGGATGCATGAGACGAGTGTGTTGGCGTTGCGGATGGTGTGGTCAACGGCGATGATGTGCCGGTCGATCCAGATGGTGATGTGCGCCCTGTGGTTGTTGGCGTTGCCTTTCTGGATGTACTTGTGGATTCGGATGATGTCCTCGACGTAGCGGATGTTTGTGTGGGCGTTGAGTGCCTTTCAGTAGATCCTGTGTTCGCGGTGCTTGATGCCGACGATGCTGTGGATCCATGTGACGTAGACGATGGGGCTACAGTCGTCCTAGCCGACGGAGTACTGGATGCATGAGACGAGTGTGTTGGCGTTGCGGATGGTGTGGTCAACGGCGATGATGTGCCGGTCGATCCAGATGGTGATGTGCGCCATGTGGTTGTTGGCGTTGCCTTTCTGGATGTACTGGTAGATTCAGATGATGTCCTGGACGTAGCGGATGTTGGTGTGGGCGTTGAGTGCCTTTCAGTAGATCCTGTGTTCGTGGTGCTTGATGACGACGATGCTGTGGATCCATGTGACGTAGACGATGGGGCTACAGTCGTCCTGGCCGACGGAGTACTGGATGCATGAGACGAGTGTGTTGGCGTTGCAGATGGTGTGGTCAACGGCGATGATGTGCCGGTCGATTCAGATGGTGATGTGCGCCCTGTGGTTGTTGGCGTTGCCTTTCTGGATGTACTGGTAGATTCGGATGATGTCTTCGACGTAGCGGATGTTGGTGTGGGCGTTGAGTGCCTTTCAGTAGATCCTGTGTTCGTGGGGCTTGATGCCGACGATGCTGTGGATCCATGTGACGTAGACGATGGGGATACAGTCGTCCTGGCCGACGGAGTACTGGATGCATGAGACGAGTGTGTTGGCGTTGCAGATGGTGTGGTCAACGGCGATGATGTGCCGGTCGATCCAGATGGTGATGTACGCCTTGTGGTTGTCGGCGTTGCCTTTCTGGATGTACTGGTAGATTCAGATGATGTCCTGGACGTAGCGGATGTTGGTGTGGGCGTTGAGTGCCTTTCAGTAGATCTTGTGTTCGTGGGGCTTGATGACGACGATGCTGTGGATCCATGTGACGTAGATGATGGAGATACAGTCGTCCTAGCCGACGGAGTACTGGATGCATGAGACAAGTGTGTTGGCGTTGCGGATGGTGTGGTCAACGGCGATGATGTGCCGGTCGATCCAGATGGTGATGTACGCCCTGTGGTTGTCGGCGTTGCCTTTCTGGTTGTACTGGTAGATTCAGATGATGTCCTGGACGTAGCGGATGTTGGTGTGGGCGTTGAGTGCCTTTCAGTAGATCCTGTGTTCGTGGGGCTTGATGACGACGATGCTGTGGATCCATGTGACGTAGACGATGGAGATACAGTCGTCCTAGCCGACGGAGTACTGGATGCATGAGACGAGTGTGTTGGCGTTGCGGATGGTGTGGTCAACGGCGATGATGTGCCGGTCGATCCAGATGGTGATGTGCGCCCTGTGGTTGTTGGCGTTGCCTTTCTGGATGTACTTGTGGATTCGGATGATGTCCTCGACGTAGCGGATGTTTGTGTGGGCGTTGAGTGCCTTTCAGTAGATCCTGTGTTCGCGGTGCTTGATGCCGACGATGCTGTGGATCCATGTGACGTAGACGATGGGGCTACAGTCGTCCTAGCCGACGGAGTACTGGATGCATGAGACGAGTGTGTTGGCGTTGCGGATGGTGTGGTCAACGGCGATGATGTGCCGGTCGATCCAGATGGTGATGTGCGCCATGTGGTTGTTGGCGTTGCCTTTCTGGATGTACTGGTAGATTCAGATGATGTCCTGGACGTAGCGGATGTTGGTGTGGGCGTTGAGTGCCTTTCAGTAGATCCTGTGTTCGTGGTGCTTGATGACGACGATGCTGTGGATCCATGTGACGTAGACGATGGGGCTACAGTCGTCCTGGCCGACGGAGTACTGGATGCATGAGACGAGTGTGTTGGCGTTGCAGATGGTGTGGTCAACGGCGATGATGTGCCGGTCGATTCAGATGGTGATGTGCGCCCTGTGGTTGTTGGCGTTGCCTTTCTGGATGTACTGGTAGATTCGGATGATGTCCTCGACGTAACGGATGTTGGTGTGGGCGTTGAGTGCCTTTCAGTAGATCCTGTGTTCGTGGGGCTTGATGCCGACGATGCTGTGGATCCATGTGACGTAGACGATGGGGATACAGTCGTCCTGGCCGACGGAGTACTGGATGCATGAGACGAGTGTGTTGGCGTTGCAGATGGTGTGGTCAACGGCGATGATGTGCCGGTCGTTCCAGATGGTGATGTACGCCTTGTGGTTGTCGGCGTTGCCTTTCTGGATGTACTGGTAGATTCAGATGATGTCCTGGACGTAGCGGATGTTGGTGTGGGCGTTGAGTGCCTTTCAGTAGATCCTGTGTTCGTGGGGCTTGATGACGACGATGCTGTGGATCCATGTGACGTAGATGATGGAGATACAGTCGTCCTAGCCGACGGAGTACTGGATGCATGAGACGAGTGTGTTGGCGTTGCGGATGGTGTGGTCAACGGCGATAATGTGCCGGTCGATCCAGATGGTGATGTACGCCCTGTGGTTGTCGGCGTTGCCTTTCTGGATGTACTGGTAGATTCAGATGATGTCCTGGACGTAGCGGATGTTGGTGTGGTCGTTGAGTGCCTTTCAGTAGATCCTGTGTTCGTGGGGCTTGATGACGACGATGCTGTGGATCCATGTGACGTAGACGATGGAGATACAGTCGTCCTAGCCGACGGAGTACTGGATGCATGAGACGAGTGTGTTGGCGTTGCGGATGGTGTGGTCAACGGCGATGATGTGCCGGTCGATCCAGATGGTGATGTACGCCCTGTGGTTGTCGGCGTTGCCTTTCTGG